TGTAGGATCTTGTAGGATATTACTCCTTACCTGAAAATAGTTGCAATATTGTAAAACCAAAATGTATAATTCAGTTTGCTACAGCATAATGCTATTTGCAATAATACAACATTTTAATGACGGACACTTGAAGACTAAGGGGCATTGCTTGCCTTGTATATTTTTCATTGAAATTACCTGTGGCTTGCAATTTTACTTGGAGATAATATTACTATTAAAGTATATATTTTCATAATTCAATGCTACAATACAGCTACAATCAAGCAAAGATAAAATAATGTAATCACATTGTTTTGCGAAGAGCAAGAACATAAGAAAACAGAAATAAATTAGAACATTTAGATTTTTTTCTATAAAATCATGTAATATTCTCATAAAATTGAAAAACCGCAAAAACTCAAAGATATAATTATAAATCAAAAGTGAGAACTTGTTTTGACAGAAGAACTAAAATCATTTGTTTTAAAGCATATGGATACAAAATACAGAACTAGGGTTAAAAGGGTGAATAGCTAATTTGAATGTGGCTAGCTTCTAATCGCTTACCTGATAGAATAAGGCCCACATTATTACATTATTATTTTTTGATCATCTGTTCCATTACAGATTGAGAGGGGTTGGCAAAAGCATGTCCACCCCATTATTTATTATTAAATAGCCCCCACCTGCCACACATAGAAAGGGGCTGGGGGACACAGTGGAATATCCCCCTGTCGTTATTTTATTAAAAGTGCTTACCTGCAACTGACTGTTTACTGATGAGTAGATAATCTGACTTGCAACATGGCTGGCGGGGGCATACGTGAGGTTTCAAACCTTCCTTATACTAATGTGGTTGTCATATTAGCTCCTATAGGCTGTTTTGTTCACATTTTAAATGAGGTAAGCAGCTTACAATTACTGGCCAGCGTCCACATGAATAACCCTCTCACTGCTAGGAATATTTTGCCTTTTTGGGAATAGCACTTCAAATTATTATTTGCTTGCACAAAAGCAATTGAACAATGATTTGCAAATGTACATCTTGCTGGATGCATTTGATTACTATTTTGTTATTTGTATACAATTCCTATACTCCGTATTGGGTTCTAATGCAAAAAAAACCACCTTATTTCAAAACATACACAGGATGCATTTGGTCAAGTCGGTTTGGCATATTTCCAGCCAGAATATGCTTTAGTAAAGATAAAAATTGCAATTTCAGCCCTAATTCAGCCATTTTCACCTTATTTTTTCCTACCAGACAAAATCTGGTGTTTGCTGAACAAACGTGTACTTGTAGCTTGTAAGCCAACCAATCAGAGTGCTCTGACAGGCAAGTCTCATCCAATAAAATTTCCATGCCCACCCTCTGTTGATTAGTAAATAGCCCCATCTACCTATCCACTATTGGGGGAGGCTGAGGGGTGACTTTTGGATTCCCCCTAGTTAATTATATTAAATACACCTAAGTGCATAGCGGCAGGAAAATTTCAACCATCCCAGTATCTTTTGGTCTGGCACAAATTTGGACCAAATCTAGGCTTATTTAAAGCCTGCTCCAGAAAATCTGAACATTGTTTCATATTGTAAAAAAAAGTCTGGATTTTTGAGTCCCAATGATTTTGTATTTGGTACGGGGCCATTCAGATTTTGATGAATAACATCTTAAGCAAGATAGATTATAAATGGCAGACACTGACTGAAATGACATGTCTGACACTCAAGTTATGGCAGAATGCAGCTTAAAAATGCTCATACAGTTTTGAAATAGCATTATAGGATTTGTAGCCATAAGTAAGTCTTAATTTCATTTATTTATTTTTCTTTCTTTTTGTAAACAATGTTCTTCCTTCTTAAAAAAAAGGTTCTTCCTTCTCTCTCTCCATCAGTAACATTTTTACACATGAGAAAAGAAACAGAAAATATAGTTAATTTAAGATTAATACTGAGTGAACACAGGATGGGATGTAATTCTCAGGCATCCCCCATTTCTTAATCGCCCCACTAAAGAAAATAAAAAAGTGGTCCTGCTAATAACCAAGTCCAGAAGTCACAAAGCTTCTCAACACTTGTAGAAAATGATAAGTCACAATAAATAAAATCTAAAAGTATATAGAATATCAGCTCTAAAATGGAATCATCCACAATTTATGTAAGCTGTCAAAAGACCAGATTCCAATAGTATCCCTCCTTGAGCACACATAATTACAATAACTTAACTAGTATAATAACCACCTGACAATCAGTAGTTTAATCTTTGCAACTAGTAATTTGTGCTCACATAGGCAAAACTTTGAAATTCTGGCTGTCATGTGAAAAGTCTGATCCATGCACATAATAGTTGCGTTTATAAAACTTTTGACTTTTATATAAAAGCTGAAAGTGCACATTATTATTAGTTATTATTTATAAAGTGCCAGCTTATTTACCAAATGAGACAATAACAAAATGTAACAGGAACAATTGGCAGTTGAGGAACCTGATCAAACAAGCTTACAATCTGCATGAGGTGGATATTGAGGGAGACATCAAATAGACATGGTGGAAAAGTAGAAAACTGGAGGTGAGAGTGGAGTGCTGCCCTTTAGGAGAGACCAAGAGGAAGGTTTGAGAGATAAAAGTTATTCTTGGAGGCCATAAGCAATCCTGAAAAGATGGGTTTTGAGGGACTTCTTCAAGGACTGAAGACTAGTGGAGAGTCTGACAGGGGTAGGCAGGCTGTTCCAAAGGAAAGAGCAGCCTATGAGAAGTCTTGCAGGCATGAATTTACAGTAAGGGTGTGAGCAGCAGACAGGAGAAGGTCACCAGTAGAGCGGAGAGACCGAGAGGGGGTATACCTATGAATCAGTGAAGAAATGTAAGAGGGGCTAGAGTTGGCTAGGGCTTTCTATCTGTCTGTCTGTCTATCTATCTCTCTGTCCATTCACCCATCTGTCTGCCTGTTTGACTATCTATCTAAAAAGAGGATTGCACAAAGCTGTCATTATATAATTTCAACTCTAAATGATTGAATAACAAAATATATCATTAGATTATGCATAATGACAAGGAAGACAGACAGAGGAGAGGTCAAGGGTGGCAAGTAAGAGGCGTGCATTCATTGACTGGCTGTTACACCTCTGGCAGCGAAGAGGTCGATCTCCGTATCTGCAACATTTGGAATTCAAATGCTGCGGACACAGACTCCAGGCACCATGACCACTTACAATCCCTGAAGTGGGCATGGTGCTTTGAGTAATATGTACAGCTTTTTAAAAAAATGATTTAAAAAAATAGTTTATTTAGAGTTTATTAACATTTTCTCCAGAGATTTAACAGTACTTTGAATTTATACTTGTTCCTAATATGCATTTGATCTAATCTGCCTAATTGACTTGTTTTTATATATTTTTCAGACTCTGAAACATGTGTTACACCAGATCCTGGGAACCGAGCATATGAAAAGGCTTAGCTGCATGGCCTAGATGGCCATTACATGATACATTTCCCAGCAGGTAGAAGGTAAAATCTATAGTTAAACATAGGTTAGTAATTGTTCGCCTGCATAAATGAAAGTTAACACAACACTCTGCAGTATTTTAATGCTCTACTGGATAATGTAAAAAAGATTTTCAGGATGTGGCGCTGCTTTAAGAGATATTGATTTATGTCAACATACATTGACCATTGATATTAATTTCTTTAAAAATCCAAACAGAGTTGTTTTTTCCCTTCCGTTGCACATTTCTACTTCAAACACTTTTCTATTGACTTTTTTTTTTTCACTGGCAATTTCTCTGGCAAAAGAAAACTGATTAGTGGCATCTAAAATACAATCCTAACATGAGAAGCAGTATACCTGTCACTTTTGTCATTCTTCTTCAATAAATGGAATAGAAAATATCATACCCAGTTGTCTGAAAGTTATTGTTGGATATGTCTCAAAAGCTAGAAACCAACTTAAATGGGACTAGATCCCTAATGGAAATTTTCTCTGTATCAAATAATGACTTTAATCTTGGTATAGAGCAACTTTTACAGACATAGGTCTTCACATATATATTCTGAGATGTTCTCATCAAACTGAAGAAACACACATTTATTAGTAACAATTGTTTTTTTGATTTTTAAATACAGAAATAGGCAGTGATAATAGTCAACAGGAATGTTACATCTCAACATCAGAAATAATTCACAAAAGTCAATACAAAGGCATCAATCTTGCTGTGAAGGGGTCCTAGTTTCCTGAAAATGCTTGATCATGACCGCAAAGTTGTCCCTCCTTAAGGGGAGCTATAGTGACTGCACACCTGTCACCAAGGCACCTTCTGTGTGTTGTGTGCTTGGCCCTGGTTCCAGGACATGCCTCAATAATTAAAAGGGAGCAGAGCTATCAAATATTATCCCTTTATTTACTTTATGGTATGGGAGGTACCACAATGACCTATAGCACTAATTTGCGGCAAAGCTTCTATACGGTGGTCCAAAGCTTATTCAGCGCATATTACTTCCCACATGTACTAGCCTAAAGGGACTGTAGTGTTGAGGTGTATGTAACGTATATGTGTTAGTGGGATGTGGAGGGGGGATAGGGGTTAAAAAAGAACTAGTCGAACACAACAGCTATTTACATGTTAGGTCGAGTATGGAATAGACTAGTGCAAACTTATACCTTCTCATTGCTTTAGCGGGACGTCCCAAATGGAGGTCCTGTCATCATTCCCTGTCTGCTGTAAGAGGTCTAAACCCCATTATGCCGTAGTCGTTAGACTTCTATGCCTTAGCTCCGGTGTAGTACCAGGGGAGGATGAGGAGGGAGGAGCAAGCGGCTGCCTGTGATGCTGTGCTCATAGGTACTCTAGGCGGTCTCATCCAGTGTCATAAATTTTATACAGGGTTCCCAGATGGCCAGGTATCGCACGTATGAGTGTGTAAATGAGAAATACAGCACCTCGAGGATTCAAATGGAATCGACTTTCTGAACCCAGTTCCTGATTAAAGGCGCCAATGTGTTTTTCCAGTGTAAGGGAATCAGTATGTTAGCAGCTGATAGAAGGTGGTTTATGAGTATGCACATGTTTGTTGGGAGTGGTGAGGAGTATAAAAGGAATGAGGTTGTTTTCGGGGTGCACTGTATGTGCTGTCCAGTAATGGCATACATAATGGATATTATCCATTTCCAATATGATTGTATCACCTTGCATGACCACCAGATGCCCTTGCCCTGCTGACATCTCCAGCATTGCGCTGATGTTTGAGGGAAGAGATGTTGTAAGTGTGAGGGAGTGAAGTGCCACCTTGCTACTCTTTTGTAGTTGCTCTCTTGGGTAGAGTTTCTATTGGAGATACGGAAGATGCTGGAGAAGAGATGTTTAAATTTGATGTCAGAGAATGAGACAAGGAGTTCCTCTTCCCAAGCTTTCATACATTTAGGGTGATGTGGTGTAGGTGTTTTTTGGATTAGTTTGTATAGTGTGGATAAATGCTTGGTTTTCAGCAGGCAATTTAAGCAGTGGTTTTCAAAAGGTGCCACCTCTCTGAAGCCTTGTAGTAATTCAGGTTGGGATTTTAGGAAGTGTGTCATCTGTGAGCTAGTATGGTCATCTTGTAGGAAGGCCGAGCCCGCCATATAATTTTAGGCACATTAATGTTTTGAGTGATGACCTAGGATGCTTTAGTGCCCATATGAATGAGCTAAGCAATTTTTTAATGGTCGCAAAGAAAGTGTTGGGTAGGGTAATGGGAAGTGTTTGAAGGAGTAATAAAACCTTTGCTAGGGTGTTTATTTTTAGAATATGGGTACGACATAACCAGACAAATATAGGCTGGTTCCAGTTGGGTTGATCAGTTTTTATTGTTTGCAACAGGGAAGGGAAATTGAGGTCATAAAGTTTATGGAGATCCCTAGGCAGCTGGACTACAAGATACTTTACTGCCGTCTCTGCCCACAAAAATGAATAAGTTTGATGTAGGGTCGATTTTGTATGGGGGTTTATATGAATGAGCAGTATCTCACTTTTGGTAAAGTTCACTAAATAATTTGAGAGCTTGCTGTAAAGTGAGATCTCCTCTAAAAGGTATGACATGGAGATCACAGGGTCAGTTATGGTGAAAAGTAAATCAGCAGCGAATGCTGCTACCTTGAAATCCTGAACGTTTAATATTAATCCATGTATATTAGAATTATCACGTATGCCCTGGCTCTAATATAAGTTTAAAAATAAGGGGTGACAGGGGACACCCCTCTCTTGTACTGTTGTTGATGGGTACTTGGTCAGATAGCTGACCATTGACCCGCACCCTGGCTGTTGGATTAGAGTATAACGCTGACATCCAGTGTAGCCAGTTTGGGCCAAAACCCATGGCTTTAAGGGAGTTGGAGAGCAGGCACCAGTCCACCTTGTCAAAAGCCTTTTTGGCGTCTACAGAGAGTAGGAGGTATGGCGTTTGGAAGAGTTTGGATAGATGGATAAGGTATATCATTTTCACAGTGTTGTTTTTTTCCTCGCGACCAGGCACGAAGCCCGCTTGATTAGGGTGGACTAGTCCTTGTAGTAGAGGGCGTAATCTTGTGGCCAGGATCTTAGTAAAGATTTTTAGTTCAACATTAATCAGGGGGTCTTTGCTAGGTTTGGGGATTTGGGTGATATGTGCTTCTAGTGCAGTGGTGGCTAATGTGTGAGGACCAAGTAGGGAGTTGAATGTATTGGTGAATGGTGCAGATAATGGTTTTACAAAAGTCATATAATATTTGGTTGTGAACCTGTCCAGTCCTGGGCTTTTACCCAGTGGCAACAGTTTAACCACCGTGACAAAGTCCTCAGGGGAGAGGGGTGAGTCTAGAGTCTAGGACATTTTGGGGAATCGTCGGTTGTAGGCAATCTGTTAGGTATCATTCAATCTCATGTGTATCTGGTGGGAGTATGTCAATGAGATTATGGGTGATGGTTCACGATTTCGTTTTGATTTTGGAGATGAATGTAGTTTGCCTAGTGTTCTGCAACATTTTAGCTATGAGTTTGCCACTTTTGCCCCCGTGTGAATAGTAAGTATGTTTCGTCAGTAAGAGCTTCTTTGGTTTGTGTGTTAAGTAATTGTTGCAGTGCAGATCTCTGGGAAACTAGTTGTTTGTATACATCTAGAGATTGATTTTGTTTATGTTGTTCCTCCAGGGTCCTGATATCATTGAGCAGATCGGTGATTCGGGTGTTACGTTGTTTTTTATTTTTAGAGGTGAGAGCAATAAGGTGTCCTCTTGACACTGCCTTATGTGCTTCCCAGGTGATGGTAGGTGAAATGGCATGTAGTTTGTTATCTTGGAAGTAGTGTATCAGTGTATCATTTACTTGGGAGACAATGTTGTTGTCGTTAAGTAATAAGTTGTTGAGTTTGGGATGGTGATGGTCAGAGACAGGAGCGCATGGTCTGACCATGTAATGGGACTATAGTGGCAACTTTTAATTAAGTGAAGGAATCTGTGTGATAAGAACAACAGCTCAGGAAAAGGCAGGAATTTTAAATAACTATTTCTCCTCCGTATATATTAAGGAAGAACCCATGGCAATATATGTGCAAATGATTGCTACTAAAAACTTGCAGAATAATTGTAATTGGTTAACTCAAGACAAGGTGCTGCAGCAACTAAAGAAAGTTAATATAAACAAAGCTCCAGGGCCTGACGGTATCCATCCACGTGTACTTAAGGAACTAAGTGTAGAAATAAGTGAACCTCTGTTTTTAATCTTTCAAGATTCTTTTCTTTCAGGAAGTGTTCCAGAGGATTGGAGGAAGGCAGGTGTGGTTCCTATATTAAAAATGGGTTCAAAATCCTTGCCTGGAAATTATAGACCTGTGAGCTTAACTTTTGTGGCTGGTAAAATATTTGAAAGGTTATTAAGGGATAATATTCAAGAATTCCTTGAGAAGAACATGGCTATCAGCAAAAATCAGCATGGTTTTATGAAGCACAAGTCATGTCAAACTAACTTGATTGCGTTCTATGAAGAAGTAAGTAGAAGTATAGATCAGGGTTTTGCAGTGGATGTGATCTATTTGGATTTTGCCAAGGCATTTTATACAGTTCCACACAATAGATTAATGTTCAAACTCAAGGAAATCGGTCTAGATGAAAATGCTTGCTCTTGGGTAGAACATTGGCTTAAAAACAGAGTACAAAGAGTTGTTATTAATGGTAAATTTTCAAGCTGGACAGAGGTGGCAAGTGATGTCCCTCAGGGGTCTGTTCTGGGACCCCTTCTATTTAACATGTTTATAAATGATCTTGAAGACAGCATTGAAAGTCATGTTTCAGTGTTTGCAGATGACACAAAACTCTGTAAAATAATACAATGTGAGCAAGATATTACTTTGCTGCAGAGGGATTTAGATAGACTGGGGGACTGGGCACTCAAATGGCAGATGAAATTTAATGTTGAAAAATGCAAAGTTATGCACTTCGGCGTAAAGAATACACAAGCAACGTATACCCTTAATGGAAGCGAATTAGGGATAACAACACACAAAAAGGACTTGGGAATTGTTATAGACAACAAACTATGCAACAATGTGCAATGTCAATCAGCAGTGGCCAAGGCCAGTAAGGTATTGTCATGCATGAAAAAGGGCATTCATTCTCGGGACGAGAATATAATTTTGCCTCTTTATAAATCACTGGTAAGACCCCATATTGAATATGCTGTGCAATTTTGGGCACCTGTTCTAAAGAAGGATATTATGGCACTAGAAAAAGTGCAGAGGCGGGCTACAAAATTAATAAAAGGAATGGAACATATCAGCTATGAAGAAAGGTTAACAAATTTAAACCTATTTAGTTTAGAAAAACGTCGCCTGAGAGGGGATATGATAACATTATACAAATATATTCGGGGCCAATACAAACCATTGTGTGGAAATCTATTCACAAACCGGACTTTACATAGGACACAAGGCCATGCGTTTAGACTGGAAAAAAGAAGATTTCGTCTAAGGCAAAGGAAAGGTTTTTTTACTGAACAATCAGGATGTGGAATTCTCTGCCTGAATAAGTGGTTTTATCAGAGTCCATACAGATGTTCAAACAGCTACTAGATGCATACTTGCAAAAAAAGAATATTCAAGGATATAATATTTTAATGTAGGTGTGACGAAGTTCCCTTCGCCACTTGTGCCTGGAGGGGACTACTGGCTAGCCTCTTGCCTTCCGACTATGGCCCATGTGCTGATAGCTGTATTTTCCCCTGCAGAAAGGTTTATTTGTGTATTTCTGCCGGGGCGTTCTGGACTTTCAGTATGGTAGTAGTGCTATGCCATGGAGCCTATTCGTGTAACAAAAGACTATGGAAAAGACTTTGGCTCCATGGCGAATGAACTGCATGTATGTGATCTGAGTGTCATTTCATAATAATGTGTGCTCAGATCTAAGCTATCTGGGGATATGTTGCATGTATATGTTTTATGTAGTAATTGTAACATTGTGTAATTTTATGTCTTTTTGCTGCCTTGTGTTCAATGGAGTTTTGCCTCTGTCCTTGGAGATAATTGGATTACTTCCCAATTATCTCCAGGATAGAAGACACTGTGGAACTAGTTTTGGGCAGAAAAGTCATGCTTCATTGGTCACAAAGGACTTCCGACTAACTTTTGAATTAATGGAAGGATTTGCATGATTTTTGGTTATGTTTATATTTAAAGTATGCTTATTCTGAATATGTATTTATGTGAATATGATGCATATTTTTAAAGTTACAGTATATGTATAAAAAGTGTATTTTCCTGCCTGTGATAAATTATATTAACCAATTGTGTTCAGTAATTATATCACAGGCAGAGGGGAGGGATTGTATGTTGGTGCTGGGTGTGTTATACGGTTTTTCTGTAAACGATTGGTTGTACTGTGTCCCATCCTGTGGGATGTCCCCTTGCATGGGGACTTGCATAAAAGCCAGTGTGTGGTCATTAAAATCAGATCATCTTGTACCTTTCTTGAAGCCTTGGCTCATGTTTGGGAGATTGGAGAACTACACTCTGGGGATTGCTATAATCACTATACTCCCCAGGGTATGATCACTAAGCACTGCTAAGAGCTTGTTCCTGTTCCTGCTCTCTGGGGAAAGAGAGGTTCACCCACTGGAAGTTGGATCCTGGCCTTGGGTCCAGGGTGGGTGGAGACAGCGAGACCCCGGCGCAGAAGTTGGGTCTGCAGTGCTGATGGTGTCGGTTGGAGTGCTTGGAGTCCTCAGCGAGACCTAGGAGCATCAATAGGCGGAGGTACTCAGTCGGAGTGCCAGCGTTCCGTCACATTAGAGTAATAACTGCTTGATCCAAGGATAAATCTTAC